TTCCTTCGCCGGGTCCTGGGTGAGCTGTGTGGGCGCTCAGCCTTGGGCTGGGGCCAGGCCCGGGCAGTCACTGCCATCCTGCTTCCTGCCGGACAGAGAGCAGGTCCCGTACCGTCCCCCCTCCCCACCCCCAGCTGAGGCCATGGGGCGGGAGCTCCCTTCCACGCGCTGGGAGCAGGACTGGGCATTGTTCCCAAAGGTGGGCTGAGAGGAAGAGTCAGCTTCACCCAGCTGCCCGCCGCCAGCCCTCTCCGCAGGGACAGTCCCACGGAGCGTGGACCCCGACCCAACGCCAAACACGCCAGCTCGGGAGAGGAGGCCGTGCTTGCTCTGTGGCCCATTCACTGCCCCCCTTTCTTAAAAAATATTTGTACTGGTTTCCGAGAGGAAGGGAGAGAGGGAGAGAGAGAGAATCATCCATGATGAGAGAGAACCATGGACCGACTGCCTCCTGCACGCCCCACACTGGGGACGGAGCCTGCAACCCCAGCATGTGCCCTGACGGGGAATGGAACCATGACCTCCTGGTTCATAGGTCGATGCTCAGCCACTGAGCCACGCCGGCCGGGCCCACTGCCCCTTTGATGTCCCTCCCTCTGAGCTCCCCACACCCCTCCTCGCAGCCGTATCTCCCACTCCCTTCCCGCTCCCTCTTTCTCCAGTATCACCCGCTCCTCCTTGCGGGGTGCCAGGGGCACACTCACACACACCATCGGGGACTGGCCCGCCAGGGGACTTTCCTGGGTTTTAACTGCAGGGTGATGTGGGTGCCAGCCTTCACGAGTCACCTGCGCCCTCTGACTCCTGCCCTGAGCAGCTTCTCTTCGTAGGCCCCTTCCCCGCGGCCGCCCCCGCTGAGAAGGACTGGCTGACCGTCCCTGCAAACTCAGGTGCAGCACAAACATCAGGGCTTGAGCAGAAGGACTGAGTGGGCGGTGACTCAGCCAAAGGGGAGAATTGCTCAGTGAGGATGCAGCCAGGGAGGGGGCGGGAGGAGGGCACTCCCCGTCTTCTGGGGTGAGAGTGTGTGTCCATCTGTCCATCCATGTGTTTAATTTTCTGTGGGACTCACCATGGGAACCCCACCGCATGGCGGCAGGCTGGCTTCCCTGGGGCGGAGGAACTGGGATAAAATGAGACCTGCTTGCCCAGCTCATGAAAAAAAACAACAACCCAAGAAGTTGCAGAAAATGATGAAAACAAGACGCCTCTCTGTGCAAATGGGGAGTTGGACCCCTACCTCACACCATATACAACATTTAAATTGAACCTAAGCGTAAGAGCTGGAACTGT